GAATGGAGCTTCAGAGGCTGACATTGATTCGGGAAGGCAGCGAGTTTATCGGTGACACGTCTAATCTTTCAATCAAGACGAGAAGACGACGCGATCCGAGAGAAATGACGTCACGAGAGAGAAAGCAGAGCAGTCAAGACGTTTCATCCTGGGAGTCATGGAGGTACCCAACATAATGGTCTGCGCCGAAGACGAAACGCTGCTTCACTACGATCGATCCTCTAACTAGGCCGGCCAGAGCTCGCTTTCAGACTCCGTGAATGGGTAGCTGACTCAGAGAGCGCTCGCTCGTCGGAGGAGACGATCCTCTCCATCACATCCATGCTTCTCTCCAGCCTAAAACATTTTCCTTCCCCCCTCTTGACCGAACCGTCTGTCTCTGAAGCGCCACATTAAGGAGGAGTGATTTATATGATAATAAGACGTCTTTTGTTTTTTCACTTGGAACAGTGATGTATGAACACGGCCAAGTAGATGATAGAAAGGCACATAATGACGATGCTCGACGAAATATTCCGGGAGATAAATCGTTTTTACATATCCGTTTTATTAGTCAAAGAGATTTTTGTCCTGTCATCTTTCCACAGGGATAGAATTAGCGAAAACAACCCGTCTCACCGCGACGCCTCGTTTCAGCAAAATACCTCACTATGATTCACAAGTCATCGAACTCGAGCGTCTTCGGCGCCCCTCTCACTCTCTACCGGACAGCTGTTCTCCGATTCGAGTCCGAATGAAACTTCACCGGTGAGGCTTTATCTCCGCCAATTGAGTTGGGAGAAGACATCACTTTCCAACGACTAATGTCAATCAACAATGTCCTCATGTAATAAACACGCGCGAGCCCGACTTCGTTCGAGTTGGACTCGCGGCTCGCAATTGAATGTACAGACAAATATACCGGTCACACTGTATACCGGTTACCAGTCAACAACCGGACAACCGTAAACCAGTTCAAAACATTTTGAGTGCTCGGAAAAAGGAGCGCATAAGTAGTAACTTTTTTACACACGATCGTACTCGTCTCGGTACTCTTGGTTTCACTGCCTATGAATTTATTATGATATGGTACTTTTTTCCATGCTTTACAAGAATACTCTCTATGGTTCCCATAGCAGTTGACTTATCTAGACAACAAAGCATTCGTTAGAAAATGTTCACCAAATAATGGTATGCCGTCAACGCACCTTGTTCCCGAGATTAGACTAATTTCGGTGAGTGTTCCAACTGTCTGCATACGAAAGAGATTTCACCGGGGGTCTAGTTCATCAGGGAAACGTTGCTTTGACTCTCGGAGGCGGTGCAGGTTGCCAGGCGCTGTCTCGAGTGAGTCTTTAGTGCCTCAATGGATGAAGTCGGCAAGGAGTTTCGTCCTCACCGATAGCCCTCAAACCGGCGCTCGAGCTCCATGTTTAAGGAAGTATTATACAGTTTCTTCCTGTACAGCGGTTCGGTTAGAATTCAATCGACACGAAGCGCAATCGATGGAAATCTTCAACAAACCACACAATGCTTGACAATGCGTACAATACGACGTATTATTCTTTTCTCACAAATGTGATCCCGAAAAAGACTCCTGAGCTAGCGGCTCATGGTACGCTACAAATTGGTATGTCGAAATATGATCATCTACGAGATGATCACACTTCGGTGTGACCATTGGCTTCGGTCGCAGGGAGGTGAGTTCTTTGCAGGAGGTTGGGTTTGTTGTTCGGCCGCCGAACGCTGCCTTCAGGATCGCCTTGCGCATGCTGGAGCGTGTCCATGTTGACGGTATTCAAATGGTTCAGGGTAACACGTGTTGTGGAATAAGGTTCGGATGCGCACGAATACCGCTTGAACTTCTGGTTGTTCTTGGCGAACGCGCCCAACTGTTTTCCGGTCAGCGCGTAGCAGCAGAAAACCGCCTTGAAGCCTTCGCGGAACCTGAAGGAAAAATTAGACGTCTTAGCACCGAAGGCGGATCCATCATCCACATCCCTGTACATGCTCTGCGTGACTCGATCTTTTTCGATAATCTGTCGAAAGTCCGACGGCGTCAGTGATCGGACGGAACGATGCGATTCCGGACGATATATCCATTGAAGCCACGGTGGGGACTCTCCCGAAACGTCTCCTCCACGATTCCTTAGGGTAGCCCGCCATCCCTCGGAAACGGTAGCAATCAAGAAATTCCATTTGCTAGTGATCTTCCTGGAGAGATTCATCGCGTCGACGTACACTAATGTTGGAGCATAGCGTATGGCGCATGGGCGTAAGGGACACGACATACCGGGACTCTTCCCTGCGTCCTGCATTCCTGCTCGCGAAAGGAATCTTGAAGGAGATGGATGCGCTGTCCGATAAATGGGCGATGACATCACACTCGCCCTTAGTCTATCTCAACAGTGCGATAAACCCTTATCTCTCTGCGCGTTCGAAACTGTCAGCACCTCCGGTGTAGGCGCCAAGAGGATAAATTCAGATATTCTTGCAGGGCGGAGCTCGAAAAGGAGAGGAATCGATGCGGAACGGCGCGAATACGAGCTTTCTGTGGGGGAATGGAGGCGAGAAAACCATTTCATGGTCTTAGCGGCGGGGAATAGACTGACTTCGCCGCATATAATGAGGAGGATAATGAACATCTCAAGGGTTTTCCGGGGAAAACAGCATCGACTCTACCGTTTCCTCCTGGGAGCTCCGAATGGAAATATTTTGACTCTGCTCCGCCGCATTTCCGACGACGGCGAACTCCCGATTCGTAAACCAAGCCGTATGGCCCTGCATCCGGAAGCTTCCGGCTGTGTAAGTGTGTTCTGGCTCTGAACCAGATTGACTTAAGAGCTCCCAGAACCTCGGATACGACGGGCTGTTTCGTCTTCAGATGGATTCTCTCTGGCGAGGCTTCGGTAAATGATGGAGCCGCTGGCGACAGCCGGAGTATTGCAACATTGCGGACAAGTTCTGGAAATTCTAATGGGAGAAATTCCAGGATTGATTTTCCCGGAGGAAGAGCGGTCGAGCCAGATCAGGCTGTGCGGAAAAGGATAACCGAAGGATTTAGCTGACCCGGCAGCTCCAGGACATGCTCCTTCAACGACGCGATCTCCGAGCCGCAGTGTTGCGAATCCATTCGCCGCAATCCCATTCGGTTGGGGAAAAGTTGGAGAACGCACGGTGAAAAGGGTAAGGGCTTGAGGTGTGCAGCGACTGTCTGAGAGACTCGAATCTGCGGACCTGAAGGTTACGCACAAGTCATTCTGAGCTTTGCCGTACTTTTCGAAAGAGGCTTTGTCGAAAGTTTGCCCTCGTCGGGCGAGAAGCGTTGTACCTCAATACTTTCAGCTGGAGATAGAACATGGGCATGCTCCGACCTCAACCCATTCGAACGACCTGAACTGGCTCCTTTTGATAAAGGCCCACTGTGCGAGCGGCTAGATAAAGTTCCAAAGGTCGGAGTCAGCTTCCACGCCTGGTCAGGTCCACTCGGATCCTCCGTCGCAAGGTGTCACGAGAGCTGCCAGGAAACTCTCGATCCGAATTTCGAGCCAGCTGATGCGCCGGTGAATCACCGTAATGCGGTCGCGACAGATGCGAGTAATCATGACAATCGGCCTCATAAAGCGAGTCGAAAACCGCTCGTGCTGCTCAGGACGGAGTATGTGCGTCTACGGAATATGAGGTTCCGCGAGCTTCCGATCGCCGTTGCCGGCAATGATTCGTAAGTTGTCGCTGTGCCGAGTGGGAGTCCACCCCGTTACGTGACACCAAGAACTCCCTCACGCCACGTTGAGTCACGCCAGACGGCACTGACTTGTCCGGAGGCGAATGAACGCCGCGCCGTCGAGTCCCGCACTCATGTGGAGAAAGTAACAGATTTCCGAGTTCTGACCTCATCTATTAGACCGCTTATACACCCGAACGAAAGATATGATATGGTAAGCGACAGCCGAGATGTCCAATATTGCTCGTCTATGGACCGGGTTGGAAGTATTTCAAGAATGCGGCCTCCCTCATAGGGGTGCGCGAATATAGGATTCTCCCGTTTGCGCAGAAAATGCAGTAGCGTCTGGTATATTATGATCCATTGTTGAACGACGAGAGATGATTTCCCGCTTCGCGCCGAGAAAATCCTCATACGCGAGGGATTCATTGGCGTGAGATTTGCTCACGAGGGGCCTTCGGAAGCATTTCGGAATCGAGTAAGGATCTCAATGAATCTCGACTTATCAGATAGTCCCTTCCGACTCAAAGGTCACGGACGCTGCTGATGGGATTTCCTGAATAGACGCCTGGAGGTGATCGAAAGTTCCGAGATCGACCAACGCGGGCTCCGGGGAACTCTCGAATTAATCTTGCTGTCGTTCCCTCTCGACCACATCTCACTCAGTCAAAAGAATGACTGGAGGGCGTTCGGAGCCTTCTAAGACGTCTAAACCGAAAATCCGAACCCGACCTCTGAACCTCCTGGTCCGCAAGCAGAAAGCGATGCTGAGAGATTCTAACTTAAACCGTTCGGCCCAACCATTCCTTCTGAGACATCAGACATCACAGATGCGATCCAAAGTCTTGCATAGGATGCTTGGTCGCACCATCAGTCCTACGCTCATTTCCATTGGAAACTTCCGGACGGGATTGGGTATTCGAAACGGAAGAGGTCGTGGTGGTACCATGACCACAAAGCGCGATGAGCGACCTCATTACGGCACAAGGGCTTGAATCTTCATCTGGGAGGGTCACTTGAGCTCTTGATGAACTGATAGCCTGAGCATTCGCTCAGGCGCACACAAGCGAAAAGTGACGAGCACCATATTAAATGAGCTTTTCAAAGCGGGGTTGAAGCTTTTTCCACGTTCGGGATCTAAGTTCGTCCTATCCTTCCTCGTGAGCGACATGGAGGCGACCACGCGAGCAGACAGCACCATCACTTTCGGCTCTCGGGGACCACTCGCTGTTCTGTTACGCGAGAAGCGGGGCCGCTTTTTCGCCGACGAGGCGACGGGACGGACAGATGCCCCTACTTACCGGCTATTCATCCAACAGTAGATGATGGGATTGTACATCGAGTTCGACATTGCGAGGAAATAGATGGCCAAATAGATGTGCTGAACATAGGCGGAATCCATGATGTCGGGGAAATGATGAACGATGAGGAAATACAAATGATACGGCAACCAGCAAACGCCGAAAATCGCCACAACCACGATCATCATCTTGACGATCTGAAAATAAGCACGGGAATATTATTGATTGAAGCTGAGCTTGGTATTCGCTCGGTGGAAATTTCATCTTGCGACTCCTCATAGACATTTTCCCGCAAAGACCGTCCTTCGCCTGAACGTGCGGCCAACAGCGGTCCGAACCCCGGGCACCATGGCACACAGAGGAATTTTAATCTTCAAATACCCCAAGGCTCAAAACAATCGCCTACTTCCGGCGACGACTGTTTGCCGAGCGGGAAATGAAGTGAAACCGCGCCAAACGGCGATGCGCTCTCGGTTTCCCGACCTCTTGGCAGTTGTCTTGCCCCTTGACTGTTTGACTGGCGGGATGACTCGCCGAGCATTCTCCGAATTCCGCCACGGCGCGGCGGCACATCGGGGAAAAAGTTCTATTAGCCGTACAAAAATCAGCCGCGCTCATCACAATGTTTGTGTACCTTGAACTTGGCGGTTTACAACTCTGACTTGTCCGCGCCTCCAGTTGAACCTGCTTGTGGTCTCGATCCGAAAATAGAATGCTTTCGAACCGCAGCGTGGCTCTCTGAGGAGCCCAGTCATTCAGAGAGCTTCCGGACCGTCGACGTGGACGGGCGCGAAATCATCGCAGCCCATTCAAGCAGATCTCAGTCGGTTGGATCATCGCGACAGCTGCAGCAACACGTCCTCGGTCACCAAGAACTTTCAGTTATTCACCCGCTCAGGGACAAATTGATTCTATTCAGGGAACAGATTGAATGAGCGAATAGCAGAGTTCCGAGGGAAAACCAGAAGGTCTACGAGTGGCGCCTGACAGGTCAGCCCTTTCGCAAGACAGTGGAGATTCTCCGAGACAACGACACGTGTCCTACATCCGCTCATACAGCATGATCACGAAGGGCGCTGACAGGGTCTCTCGACCTGGACCTCATTTGATTCATGGCGTGTCCGCAATTATATCGTGCCTCGTAAACAATTCAGCCCGATTTGAGATTAGCGGATATACGGACAGTTGTTCAGTGAGGGACACCGCCCACAAGGCTCAGGGTCCCGTGCTTAGGTCTAAGACCGGCCGCAGCTCCCGGGATTTGTCGTTAATAGCGAAGACTCTGGGAAACCGACTGGCCGGCGGCGGGTCAAACAGCGACGACCGTCAGTCGACAGCCGAGCGCAGAAGAAAAGCCAACTCATCCACTGCGAGAATAAGATCGATGATTGACGGCGCGAGGACACGGAAGCATCCTCGCCCACGGCCCTCCTCCCAGAACTCGCCCCATGGCTTCTGGAGCTCCCGAAGATTCTTCTTCAAGGTCGCGGGGCCCTTCCATGAGCTCAGTGGATCCGTCGGAGTGAACAGGGTCAACCACCTGCTGTTTTAATCTGTCCCGACGACCGTGGCACGTTGAAAGTTTCTTTCGACCACATTTGAAACGTTTTCTCTCTGTTCGGTCGATCGCGAGTGCGGATCTCGCTCAGCGAGGCAAGCCCCAGGAAACCTCGGAGATCCCGTCAGCCAGACAGGGAGAAAGGATCTCCGAGGGCGGAAAACGGGAACCTCGATTCTAATAATAGCGCTCTTGAGAGGACTTCGGTTGCCATAGGAAACCTCGGGCAGTTTGACATCAGGGAGGTGCGATCTAACGAGCCGATCTACGGAACTCAGGAGGAATAGCCACATGAACTTGCCTTTCGTTTAGAGTTTATCGTCTCTGTCTGCTTGCGTGTAACTTCGCCGATGCTCTGTGAGCCCCACAGTTCTCGGCCTACCCGGAAATACGTGAAGGCCATCGCTTGCATGGGGATCACGTAGGTCACGATCAGGATCAGCACATTGTATCTGAGAAGGAGACGGATGAGCAATGTTAAGTGCCTTTGCTTGAGATTCTGATCCCGAGTGCTTTCCACACGGAGGCCTCCCACCCCGCCAATACGAGGGGAGAGCGACTCAATTCGCGCGCCGCGGATTCCGCGTTTTTCGGCTCGAGCTCTCAGGTAATCGTGGGCGCGCGATCAAAAAGCAATCCAGCGGGGGCGGAAGTCGGATCCGATTTGACCACCCTTCAGAGTCGCATTCTCAAGAGGAGGGGCTGGGAGCAATTTCCGCTCGAAGAGTAATCACCGGCGACGTCTCCAGCGAAATTACGCGACGAGGCAGTAGGGCCGCCCGAAATATGTGGTTCTCGGAACCTATGAACCTGTCGCGTCCCTAGCCTCGCACCTGTTGCAGCTCATTACTAGCTTTGAATTCATTAGGGAAAGTGTTAATCATTCGAAACACTAGACTCGAGCTCCGACTGTTTAGACAATCACGTGGGTGCCCGCTGCCAAAGCTCCGACCGCGTCCGCCGTTTTCCGGCCCCTCCTACCGGGATTTCCCCTCCGGAAGAGAAGCTCGCTCGATCAGGCCTCCGACCTCGATCGCTGCCTGTCGGATTCACTGCCGGTCACTAAAGGCGGAGGGACAGCTCTGGTCAGCTAAATTGTGAATGACAATGTCAATTTTGTTGCAGTCAACTTCGAGTTTGCCACTTTAATGGACATCGCCTCGTACGGAGTGGGACGGAGGACAGGAACAGAGGAAGCCTAAAAAAAGATTGTTAGAGCGAAAAAAAACAGACCGGCAGACGTTCTCTTGGGGCTCTGCCTGCAGCCGCGCTCTGGCCTCGGCTGACAGCTGATCTTGACAACCGATCAAGTTAAAAAGCAGCGGGAAGGACCTTCGTTTTTGACTTCTTTCCCGCAATCGATCTCTTCGACACCGTTCAGTAACGAGACGAAAGCTTCGTTCTCCTTTTGACGCCACCGCAGATCGTTCCTGATAGAATCTCGAGCCGACACTTCCGAGTTCAGGTGCGTTCGTTGAGACCATTCACTCCGGATGCGTCGCATCGACACGGGCGATGAGCTCTGGGAGGTGGGAAAACTCGTCAAATCTGCGGATATTCCGGTGTTCGCTGACACTTGCGATCCGGGAATTCCTAGACAGGGAATGCAGATTTACCTCCGCGATGAGGGACTCCAGTACTCCGGAGCGAGATTCCGGAAAAGAGAAAGCCGGGTCCTCCGCCCCCCATCCGTACAGCGCAACGGGACTCCTAGCGCTCCCCGGATCTTCGGCATTGGGTGTCGCGACACTCCTTTCCCTCCGCGATTCACGTGTTGAGTTTTTTTGTGAGATCTCAGTGACGCGGTTTGTTTCCTCGGTGATCATTGATTCGTGAATTTCTCCGTTTAGGAGCAGTGCATAGTTTTGGTGCGTACGGAGAGATTCGCAGCTCCGCTCTTCCCTCGATTGAAGAGACGCGTGGATCGGCGAGCCTCGGTCCCGAACTGAACCTTCCCATCTCAAGCGCATGCGATGAGCGGTTCCGTCGGAAGTTCCGCGAGCAGTTCTATGGCGAATATGGCCGCTCCTGCCGAGGGTCGCGCGGGAGATGTACGTGATCGTCTCTTCGAACGACGCAGTGTTCCAAAACATCCTGCTACGAAACGATGTTCCGGAAACTCTGGTTCCTTTCCCGTCATAGGAAGCAGAACCTTTTCTACAACGATATCGGGAGGATTTTTCTCTGACATCGGAAACAGGACTCTGTTCAGAACTCCCGAAGCCGAGTCGGCGATCGAGCATTCATTGTCTATGGCCGATTGAGGTTAACGGGGTATGCGCCTAGAGATTTCGAAAATACAGTGTAGCAGTGTAGCCTACTCACAACGAACACGCTCACGCCGGCGAAAACGGTTCGTTAAGGTGAATGTCTATCGTAGCGAGCTTGTCCGACTATTAGGTCTGCTGGGAAAGGACCAGAAAATTAGGAAAAGTCGAACGCTACATGGAAAACTCGTTCTGACGCGCTTCGTTGTGAGGAGCTACTTAGGACCCGAGAGGACCGAAGGAGGACCTGAGAGAACTCGCCTCGGGACCAGCATCGCTAATTAAGATAAATATGACGGGGAAATGTGGAAACGAACGAGGTTCGCCGAATGATAACAAACAGAAAAAAATGCTCTTGAACTCTTGAGGATCACAAATCACAATCATCCTCAGCCATGCGATGTGTAAGAGAAAGAATGTACTCACATGTAATCCTCTTCGCTTTCAGTTATCTCTCCGTCTTCATTGAAAAACATGTAACAGACAGTGTGGTTGTCTTGCTCCCGGGTCCGTGAGTAGACGTATTGTGGACACGAGAGAATCCCAGCCAATATCCAGATGCAAACCGCAATGTTCAGAGTCATGGTTCGCGACATCCGCGGATGAAGAGGATGCATTATAGCCATATATCTGGAAGAGAAGAAAGTTTGTCGTAGGTAATGAAGATCAATTAGACAGCTTAGCCCACGCGAGCTCGTGCGAGAATTGCTTCGGTGATGGTGCGGGGAAAAATAAGTCGTTGCCGTTGGCGGAGTTCCTGGAATCGCACGTACCGCCTTGCGGTCACGCAACTCCGGAAGAATAACTGGTCTCGAGAAACACTCGGGAACAATCATCGCAGATTGACTCCAAATATCGAAAACCGAAAAAATTGATCGCGGATTCCGAGCCAGCTACCGCGACGGCAATGGAGGATCGGCGATATCGTTGATGGAGAAATTATTTCCGCGATCGAGTCCTTTGTCGCTGCGACTCCGTCCCCCTCGCGACTCTATCTTCCCCTAATGAAGGAGTTTGCGGAATCGCTCAGTCCATTCCGATAGGTGTCTGCCGAAGTACGGGAATGCGAGCGAGCCATGAATCATGATCGTCATTATCGTCGAGAACGGGTGCACTACTCGAGCGACACGGTCTTCGTCCTGAGACGCCGCCGATGGTCCCTTTTATCGTCGTGACGCTCCTCTCGTCGCGCGTGACGGAGATGAATGATGTCGTCAAAGAACATTGGACTTAATCGTTGGTCCAAGAGTCGCTTCTAACATCGCCCGAGACGCCTAAACGGAGCTAGTCATTGTCCGACTCGTTTGTTCGGTTTCCCTTTCCCGTGATGGCTGCTGAGTACGAAGAAGCTCATCACAATTGATAAGTCCACAGTACGATGTCTTTGCGCAATAAAAACACTTGAGGATACTTGAAGCGATTCATGAGCCTTGTCGGGAGCTTCTCCAAATTTTAACGAGCGATGTTGCCGAGGGAATCCATCCCGAGCCTCGGAGCGCGCAGATCGATCGGCGCTCTGGGAACCACCTGTTGGAGCTGGTCGCCTCCGAGACCCTAATCGGACATGGACAACGATCTATCTATTCTCGAGGCAGTCTTCCTCGAGGCGAACGGAAGAAGCGCGCGAAAAAAGCAACAACGATTGGAAACTAACCTGTCGATAGAAATGGCCATGAGCGTGAAAACGCTAGCTGAGACGCTAACGACGGCGATAAAGTTACTGAACTTGCAATACCATTCCCCGAACCACCATTCCCGCCGGAGCATGTACGTGAAGTTGAAAATGACATTCAATGTCGAAACCATCGTATCGGCGATCGACAGGTTAACGATGAAGTAATTCGTCACGGTCCGCATACGTTTGTGAGCGAGTACGATCCAGATCACGATCAGGTTTCCACAGGCGGCCACCACGATCATGGTGGAGAACAGAACGCACCATAGCACCTGCGCAACGAAAAACATCGTTAGTTTTCGCTCACCTACTAATACTCCACCACCACAGTTCCGCCACGGAACGGCCCCATCTGCGGCACACAACTAGTGAATTGAATAAGCGTGAGCACTTAGAGAGCCATCTACAAGCTCAAAAGCTGCCGTGTTGTCCTCCGTGGCTCGCTCTGCGGGTCGCTCGCAGGCCGACATCGACATACCTACATGATGAGAAAAGGGAAAGCAAACGAGATAAATTGAAACCCGTCCTTTCAGCTCCCTCCCGAGAGCCTGCCGCTAATAGTCCACCGTATGTCGCTTTCGAGATTAGCTGCTCAGGAGCAAGCTCGCTGAAGATGATCCATGGTTAACTCCTTTCGGAGCGAGTTTCATTCATTGCAACGAATTGGATCTGCCTGGATCTCAAGTGGGGAGTTTTTTTTCCGGGTTCTTCACTTGAGTGCTCTCAACGAAAGCCCTCCGAGCAGATCGAATTCCCCCGGTGAATTAGTTTCCTATATTTCGAGCCTCGTTTCGCGAAAGCTGATACGTTCCGAACCCATTTGACGGGATAAGCCGAAGCTGCCGCTTCATGTGGATCTTTAATTTAGAGATTCACATCAAACGCCGATAGGCAAGTTAGAGAAAAGTATATTCTCCGCGACGGATCGAGAGAATTCCTTCCGAGTCTGCCGTAGTGGGGCTCGCTCCGACTGGAGGGTGCTCAATTCGAGGCTTCGGGCGTTCTCGTGGATGGCTTCGCTAGTCTCCAGTCGTCATGATACCGCTCAGCTCATGCGATGGCTCTCGGCTATTTTACTCGAAGTACAATCGCCGCGAGCCGGAACCTTCAGAATACAATGCCAGTGAAGTATGTCCATCGTTACCGTTCCGATCGGAGGAGGTGAAAGGAAATGCTTCCGTGTCCGATACGGCTCGGATGGAGGGAGCTCCGGCCCGCTTGACCTACGAATAGTTGGAGGATCCCCACTTGATGGCCCAAGTGAGTTCTGGGCTGAGCTTCAGAACCGAAGCGATCGGCTCGGCAGCCGAGCATTCTGCGAGGTGTATCCGCCCGAACCGTTTGGAGTTTCGGAGGCTTGCGCTGAGCTCATGCGATAATATCGCTGGATCATCTTTAGAGATGTCGTGTTGCGCGAAACGTCTCGTGCGATTGCTCTGCCCGACCTCCTCGCGCTTGTCGAGCTATCCTCTCTGGAGAAACTTTAGTCTAAGGAAACACCGTGACTCGCTTCAAACCACAAGATGTTGAGCGGCTCCAATAAGCGAGCTTAGACTTCCCACAGACTACAAGGCGGCTTCTTCCCCCTCTTCCTGATCCGAGAGACTTTACTGGTTTGTTCTTAGCACAAGCACACGAGGCCAACAACGAACGCTTTAATAAAGAATAAATTAAAAGTAAACCCTGCCGCTGTGATCTTGCGAGCACCTCCGCGATTTCCCGTGCGTTCCACAGCGCAAAAGCCCCGGCACTTATGTATTTTAGACAGCATTCGAACTCCAACGATGCGGATTCCATCGATTCACGACGATGAGCGACGTGGTCGGTGAACCATTCCGATTCATTCTGATGCTCCGTATGCGGTCGGCAGCGGTTTCCCGCAGCATGTCCGGTCCGAAAGTAAACCCCCCACGGAGACGTCGACTCCCTCCCCGGCCCCTCTTCGGATCGCCGCGAGCGGGACGGAATGGGGAATCGAGATCCTATAAAACCTCGTGGATATGTGGGCTTACTCGGTACGCTCCGCCAGAGTAAAGTGGGGGGCCATCCTTCAGTGTGGCCTAAGGACTGATCTCGTCGAGGGTCCGAGCAAAGTGAGAGGGATAAAAATATTTGTTCATCAGATTTCGGTCTCGAATTTTGCGGATCAGCAATCACGGTCTCAGAGATTGGCCCAGCGCATATCAGAAGAGTCTCATCAATGTTCACTCAACGTCGCAATCGTAAGCACTTGGAATTGGAGTGATTCTACACATCGGCCAACATTGGCGTTTGGGGAGCGCCAGCCGAGACGAAGCTCGCTTTCGGCAAATTATAAAAACCTCTTTAATTAGCGACGAGTGCATGACTGAATAGCGCGAGGAGACTGGTAGCTAATTCTTGTTCTCCCTATGCTTTATTTTCTCGACAGCGCCGCGCGCGAAGATATTCGCTCCCCTCGAGTAACAGGCTCTCTAAGAAATGAATCCCGAGTACTTACCTCGATGTACAGTGGCATATAGAAGGCAGAATCGCCATCATCGAAAGTAAGGTTCGCTCCATAAATCCGGAATACTTCGGAGATGTTGAATGTTGAGCTGAGATTCATCTCCTCGAGGGCGTCCATTATGATGCGGTCCAGGTGAGCGCCTCGAGGAGCCAGTTTTTTCACCTATCTCCTACGGATGTACGAGAGAGAGTGAGGGAGATAGGAGCTCTGCGACTCCGAGCTCAGGTCCAGGACGCCTCGAGATCCATCATGACCTTGGGGGTTCGATTCTGGAACGAGGAAAGAATGAATGAATGCGATTAATGAACACTTTCACCTCGTCGACCGGCCGCGCTCCCGTCGCGATACCCGAGTCGAAGCGAAAATCTAGATTCACTTTTCGATCAGGATAATGTTGGGAAAAAGAGGAAGGATGACCAATACCCCGGAGGTGCCTCTGCCGAAGACTATCGGAAGTGCTCGAGTGAGGAACTACACCAGATGGCAGATACATTGAGAGAGAATTTCGTGCGAAGTTTGCGGACGGGAGCGGGTTGGCCAAAGCTGACAGCAATAATCCGCGCACCCGACGCGAAACTTCCTCTGAAAGTTTGTAAAGTCTCATCGAATACCACCCATCAAAGTCTCGTCTCAGCCTAAGTCGCTTTGTCCCCATCTCAACTGCGAAGCAGTGATGGACAAAAGCTCAAAGTCATCCCGTGGCCATTCTGCCTACCCCGGCCACGAAAACAAACTTCCGCCCGCAGGGCGACAATAAACTCAGATGCATATTCTCCATATGGAGCCACTTTATACATACATACTTTGGGCGTCGACAAGATTCTGCGGGATCCGCTCCGCTCCGAATCCATGGATACGGTGCCCCATGAACCGATTTGTGTTTGAGGAATTAGCGGAGTGACTCCATGACCATTCTGCGGGATGATTAGCCCGCGTACCGAAGTTCCTCAGTGAGTGTCATATCATGAATCGCAGTCGCGATGGAGTTTACCTCCGACCACCGACGGGCATGCGAGATGAAGTTCTCAAATGAAGGTCTCAGCTGAAGTTCCGAGAGCTTCTCCGCTGCGTGAAGTGGCCATAGAGCATGAAGAGTATTCATTACGGCTTTGAAGGTCGCGCCGTCTCTTCCATATGTTCTCAGGATCGTGTTCCACTTCGGATATGTGTGTGCGAGAGGAGAATGCGGCCGATCGCTTTTTTCGTGAATATTGGAATCCGACCCCTCAAAAATTATCCCGGCGACATGCTACCGGCGAACGTGATGCGGTTTAGCTCATTGTGGTGCGCTCGTGACGTTCCATATGGAGTTTTTTCATCATAGTGAGGCAACCGTCTCTAGCTCTTGAACGAGCGAAACCCCGTCACATTCGACGGAATCACCCTGACTGACTTTCAACAATTCTCCGTCTCCAACCATTAGCGCGGTAAACTTCAGAAGCGTTTCAAAGCTAGGGCGGACGTTCTACCTAGTGAGTTCCGGGACCAGGCGCACGCTTCCGGAGCCCGGAATCGATGGTTCCCCTCTCTCTTAGGGAAAAGAGGTCCGCAAGCTCAGCGGCGATGGTCATTAACGAAATTGGAGAGATCCATCATTTTCATCGCGGACTAATTTCTCGATGTCAGAACGAGAAGACTCGCTCATGGAGAGTGTTTTACGCGGACACCTGCTTGCCAGGAACTGTCTCCTTTTCGTCCTCTCCGACCGATCGAAATTCGATATCGCTCAGCGTCAAGAAGTCAACAAAGTTCTTCGAATATCGACGCTTGTTGGCAGGATACATCAGGAATGTGGGCGAATGTCTCTGTCTTGTGGTCCGCTTTCCATGTCTATTGTCTAGATTATTATTTGTTCCTTGATGCAGCGAAGGTTTCCTGATTGGGTTCAGTGGAAATCTTTGTTATCAATTTATTCCCTCTCTTCCTCTGGTAGGTTTATCCGCCTGGTCATTTCTGGGCGGACATCGAGTCTCCTTGAAATATACGGGATCCTTAATTGGTGTTTTTCTTCATTCCCCCGTAGTACCTGCGATATGGACCTGCGGCGCGTGCGGAGAGAGGGGAAGACCGGAATTCGGCCAGCCATGGCCTGGAGGGATATAGTAACGAATTTGCAGGAGGAGAATTTAAGCACCAAGACCCGCTCTCCACCAGGTTCTCGGAGGGTTTCCACGGGTTTTCGTGGATTTCCGAGCCATGTTCTTGGTGAAGAGTCGCCAGCTGGATCCGGTTAAGAAGAAATCAGCTTCAGCCCATGTCATTGCGGTCAACGCGATCCTGCTAAGGGTTCGTAGCCTAGTCCGACCCCTCGGCCATCTGCCGTGCCTCCCAAGAGCAGGGAGCATAGATCAGAGCTGAATTCCCGCCTATAAGCGATTGCACCGATTGAAACATTCTGCTCCTTGGATCCTCGGTGCATCATGCCATCACTTCTGCAACCACCCATTTCGATGGATGATGGAGTTGGCTCGGTGGACTTACGGATAATCGAATTTTGGGGAAATCTCTCGATCAGCAAATCGTCCATTCGTCAGGATCAGCGCTTCCCCGAGAAAGGAAACGTCAAGCATCTTGGGAAGATGTCTCCCACGTGCCCAGATTGGGTGCTTGTAATTTCCGTCCGTAACCCCCTCCCTCGGTTCCGTCAAAATGTATGCTCAGAACCGTTGTCCTGTCTCATTTTTACGTAGCCTCAAGCGGGAGGATTCCATTGCCTCGAATTCGATGTACAGTCCGACCTGTTTATAGGAGATATGCTTATGAGAGAATCGCACGTATGGGAGACCGATGGGATTCACCAATTTTCGAGCCCATCGACCCCCATGCAGGAGAATTCGCCTAAAAGAGACTCGCTTATCAAAGAAACTCGCTTGAAAGAGAGTCGACGCCCGCACCATCCAGCCTTCCATTCGCTCACAAGAGATCGAGGCTCATCTCGACATGCCCTTCTCTCCTCCGAGAGATTGATGTGGCAAAACCAGAACGACGAAGGGAACGTAAAATGAGACGGAAGCGAGTCTCACTCTAATTTCTTCGGTTGGTCGCGTGATCTCGCGTTCGATTCTATGGTGTTCCGACGACAGCGGTCGGAATGTCGCGCAGAACGCTCTCAACGCTTGAAAAGGTTTCGGTGTAAGACTTCTTCAAATCGAATACCATTGACAGTGCCATGCCGTCAAAGACTTTGGCATCGGAAAGTCGACCATCTTCAAGATAAAGAAATCTCCGACTTGAATCTCTGGAGAACAAGAACGCAAATCGGAAACGTAAAGAGCAGCGGCGGATCACGAATCAGGAGATTGGATCGACCATGTTTACCCCGCCATAATCGAAGGATACACCCCGGACCAGATATACAACGCTGATGAATCTGGGCTGTTTTCAAGGCGACACCTTCCGGACTGCTCGCTGTTTCAGGAATGATCCAACCCATGGATCGGGGGATTATCAGAGCTACTGAAGCTAAGTACCGTTCGCAGGTCATAAGGCTCTTCCTGCGGGACCTGGAGTCAGGGAGAGCAATCGAGGAATCTGCAAAGTATATCGACGTTTTGAGGGCTCTCCACCTACTGCGACTGGCCTGGTCCCAAATTAGCCGAAAGACTATCCAAAACTGTTTCAAGAAAGCTGGATTCGTATCAAGGAGACAGAGCAATGACGGAACTAAAGATGGGGTGGAAAGGGATTTTGTTTTGCCTGTCCCGCTTGGTCTCACTCGTCAGCAGTTCGATGACTTCGTCGACTTAGATAGAGACGTAGATTGCTGGGGATCTATGCCGAAAGTGATTCAGTCAAATCACCCGAGTTGGCTCCAACCGCCAAATAAGCGATCGCACCCGAAGAAGTAGGAGGAGAAGAGTTCGAGCCGTCTGACACAGCTCGAGGAGCTCTCGGAGCCCCATCCGTTCTCTTCCGGCCTATGGAAGAGAATTACCATTCGTGCGAAGAGTTATTCGCGATCGAAAATATGGTCGAATCGAAAATCATTAATGAGAAATTCCAGGTAAAGATGGCCGATTTCTTTTTCGAGTGAGATCCCTTCAATAGTCTAGGGCAGGGGTGTCGAATGAGTGCTTGGAAATTGAATGAGATTTGTGGAATGAATCCCTCCGTGCAACCGAATGAACGATTCCCTCGATCTTCGGAGGCTGGAGCAATCTTCCATGGACGATAGGAGTGTATTCTCCTTTCGTACGAAAGTAAATTTCTAATGTGGCCCGCGGGCACCTGCAGCGCTCGAATGTGGCCCGCCAAAAATTCAAGTCTGACAGCCTTGGTCCCGAAAGTTGCTCACGTAATTTACAGGAAGAAAGTTATTCAAGAGGAACACGGGATACTCTCCCCGATTAGCTGTCAGGGTTATGTTGAGCGAATAAATGTCTTCGAAATTCGAAACTCATGACGTTCATGTGGGGATCGTCTCTGCTATGCAGAATATTGATGAATTCACGCTCCCACATACAAGAGAGACTCGCTTTAAAGAGATTTTTCTCAATTTCCCGGGGTTTCTCTTATAAGCGGGTCCGACTGTACGAGCATGGAGCAAGGCGCAGAATCTCCCACGAGCTCACATGGAGCGTCGGCTGTACGATGACACTGACAAGCATGCCGTGTTTTCGTCCAGATTCAGACTCGCTGAAGTTTTCACTACAGTGGTAGACTCCCTTGGAGCGAGTCCCTCCGATGGAATGAATACGGTGCTGGAAGATACCAGTCGAATATACAATACTTATGCATATCAGTGACCGAAGAGCGCTGATCGATTCAGACTCTCCAAGAGGCCGTTTTCCAATTATGGGTTTTGTACCTTTGGATGATTCGGTCTAGAGAGAGGGCGAGATGGTCGAGAAGCCGGAAGCGAGAGTTTCGACATCTTCGCTCATCAGGTATTTGTCAGGTCAGGTTTCAACTTGCCGGCTCTTACGGGCGATCCCCTAATATCGCAGACGTACTGTGGTGGCAGCCCCCAACGACTGGAGGATCGCACCCGAGATTCGAAGAGCCAGTGAATGGCAGTGATGCGATTTCCTGACCGAAACGAAGAACGGAAAAGCGAGACGGTCGGATACGAGCTTTCCAACAGCGATGATTCCCATCGATGTCACCATGCGTGCACTTGATGATGAGTGAATCGAATAAAAAGTCCGAACTCTATTTTCGGGAAAGGGTCTATGATGTCAGCTTCCACGTCAGCAGCTTAGCCCTCATGAACTCCGCAAGCCCCAGGGGTAGGCGCTCCTT